TCATATAAACTCCGTGATATCACTAAAAATATTAAAAAACAAGATCGTCTACATCATACTGGTGAGCACGATAATAACATTTATTATTTTTACATGTACTTCAGATATTGTTTTGCAAGAAGAGCGAAATTCAACAAACAAAAATTTGGTTTACATAAAGTTTTCGAGGTAGCATTATTAAGATACACAAAATAATTTCCCATTATCGTTATTGAATTTTTTCTAATTCATTTATAAACTCAATTTTTTGGCGACTTGTTGAAATATGCAACCGGTTCTTTATTTCGGTATAGTTCAAAAAATATGAACAATCTTTTTTTTTAAAAAAAAAATAAGAAAAATAAAGAAAAAATAGGTAGAAAAATTTTAATATGCTTCAATTATTAAATCTCTAGCTGTAGTGTATAGTAAATCATAATAATAATGTAAATATGATTCTTTTCCTTTTTATTTAACAAAAAAGAATAATGATAATAATTGTTTATTTTGATATTTCTAAACTCGTAAATATTTTAATTAATTTAAATTTATTAAATAAAAATTGGATTATATTTTATTGTTCTATTTCGACGTATGATGGTAATGCTGTGCCCCAAGTTGCGATCTGCCCCAACTTTAAATTGGGCATCTCTAAACTTAGCTATAATAAATTACGTGTATAAATTTTGATGGCTTTGATCTTTGAAAATAAATTTTGATGTCCAAGTTGTCGTATTGTTTAATTTTAAATTGGGACAATAGCCAACTTGGGCATCGCATATCTCGACAATAGTCAACGTGGGGCTCCTCATGTCTCAATTTCCAATTTTCCCAAACTTTATATTGGGTCGATGGTCATGTTCCAATTCCCAAAGTGTCCAATTTCAAATTGGGACAATAGTCAACTATGGTACCGCATGTTCCAATTTCCAATTTTAAATTGGGACAATAGTCAAATTGGGACACCGCAATGCGGTGCGCTGTCAACATAGTTTAACAAAACTACTCCACGTTCCTTTTAACAATTGCTCAGGTTTTCAGTCTGAGGGCCAATCGGGACATTAATATCTAGGAAGTCTTAGCAATAAGACTAGTATGCTTCCTGATGCAGCTGTCATCTACCTCGTAAAATACTGCAAACTTGGAGTTGCTTTTCTAATATTTCCGTATAGAATTTTTCGTCCAATATACGCCAAAATACAAAAGACTGGAGGTACCTTTATACAAAGCCACCCAGGCGAATATTTTACTACGGTGCTTTGGCATTGGACGAACTTGCCTGCATTTTTATACCAATCGTATTACGGTATTCTCCGGGTTCAATGTAGCAGAGATTATCTTTTCTGAAGCATTGAGTTTCTGCAATTCTCTTCGAAGACTACAGGATTGAATTCGATTTTGCATGCTAGTAATCAGTTAATTATTATGGCGGCGTTTTTTGTGAGTTAATATCATAGTCGACCAGATCGATGAATTTTCAGAATATTGCAACATATCTTTCACAAAGGAACTCCAGTTCGCCTGGAAATTTCCTTTGCATTTCGTGTATTTTTGTCATAAAGGAACTTTGCGGTTTCACAATTCGCTTTATTAGATGTCGATAGCATTGTGGTTTCAGTTAGTGAAAAAGTTGTTTTCAGTAATCTATTTATTTTATAAACAATCATTGCTGCAGCTAAAAATGATAAAATATCCCTACCGCCATTACTTTCAGCGGGGACTTTTCAATAATTCTTGTCTGAAATTAATTTTTATTCATCTGAAACAGTGTTAGTTTCCTATTATGTATATGTTGATTCATAAACATATTCAAAAACAAAAAAAATTTACTTAAAAATGTTTTTTAAGGGATGAACCTTTATGTTGAATTTACTTATTTATTCAAATAGTTGGTTTTCGCAATTAAATAAGCTCATATTCACTCGCTCATCTTTTTAATTAATATATTCTAAAAAAAAAAATTTGTTTACTTCATAAAAAAATAAGAGAAAAAAATTATTTCGTGCACCTTTCGTAGAAGCGTGTCATTTTAAATCTCGAATTTTTACGAACTATATTATTAATTATTGTTCACAATTCCCCATTAGATTTTCTATCATAATCAAAATATGTATAATCTAATTAATAAACGTCTTATCGACAGAGCTTCCTCCAATACATTGGAACGATTTTAACAAACGCTAGCTAGTATGGCGGATATATTCTTACTTACCATAGAACGTCATAAAATATAATTTGCCTTAGCAGGACCTCTCGTCATGTGATCAAGAAATTGACCTTTTTTTTAAATTTCACAGGTTAAAAAATCACCTACTCAAAACATGGATGTTAATTCGGATTTTGGAAATTGCTTTAATTGTGGAAACGAACAAAGTAATGCAAGATGGTGCAAAGGTTTTGAATAAAATGCCTTTAAAGAAAGTTTTATAAACTGGACAAGTGATATTTTTAATGTTGATAATTTTATAATTAATGCGATCCTAATTCAAATAACATTCTAGTTATGAAATACTGTGAATACTATGAAAATAGAGAATTATATTCATTTCTTGATGAAACCCAAGGAATACTTTGTTTGAGAGACATGGTTATAATGCTTTTGCAAGAAATTGTACATTATCACGAAAAGGGATTAATTCATGAAAATCTTCATTGAGGCAACATATTGGTTGAAGTTAAACCAGATTCGTTTGAAAACATTGATACCCCAGATTTAATTGATAAGAAAAGTTCAAATGAAATTTCTAGAGTTCTTCCTTATATTGCACCCGAAACCTTGCAATGAAAACCTTTAAAAGTGGCCGCAGACGTTTATAGTTTTGGAATGATCATGTGGACACTTTCTGACCATGGGTTTAATAGACTAAATTGGCCAATGGCATTTGTTCCGGTCTTCGTCCTGAAATTAGAACTTCAAACGTTTATACTCAATTAATGACACGATGTTGGAATCTTTGATCCTTCAAGTCATCTGAATTATAATATGAAAGGTGATGTTACTGGTGGTAAAGCATAAATTTTTTAATTATATACAATAATTTATAAATTGTTGAATAATCAATCATTAGGTATAAACATTTTGTTTAACCCAAATAACAAGATATTATACTTTCAGAATTTAAAGGCAATGAGCTTATTCCTTGTTTATGAATTAATCTAGATCATTAATTTATAATCCAAAATTATTATACAATATTTTTTTTAACCAGATCCTTAAGTATCTTAAATTTATGAGAAACTCGTGCTAAGTGATATTTGAGAATTTTATTGATGTAAAACTTTTATTAACCTTTTACATGTTTAAGCAAAGTTATTCCTATTTGTGAATCTTGAAGACAATTTGAATGAAAAGAATGTAAATAAGGATGTATATATTTATATACATAGAAGTAAATTTTTAAAATGATTAATAAGTTTAATGTGTTTTGTCATGTATTAAACTTTACGAAATTATGTTTAGAAACGATAAATTTTTATTTGTGGATCATTTGTTCTTTCCAAAAATTGACTTTGTTATGTGATATTTAAAAATCCAAATGCAAAGTTGTCCATGTGGTAGTGATACCATAAAATTATATTTGTTGTGTTATTGTTTGTTACACAAAAATTGCGTCAAACATGACGATTTACAGAATAAAAATAATGATTCAGCACATATAATAATATATGGGCACTAAAATGCTAATAATCAATTAATCTTTCGGATATAGTTAAAATTTCGACTTCAAATTGTGACAAGTGGTAGTTCATTAAATTTAAGATGATTCTAATACGAAGTGAAGGACAGGTTAATTCTTCGTTGTCCGCCCGCTCAATAATTGAGTCGATGCTTGCAGGTTGCACAAAAGTTTCGGACTTAACGAAGGTCCCCGTTCCCTAGTTCAATTTCGGAATTAATAATCATTTAACCACAATAAAATTAAACGTGTATAATTCAGTACTTCAATTTTAAACTTAACATACCGTCAGACTTGTATAATGGAGCCTCCAATTTCTAACTTCTCAACCTTTTTTTCGATCTCTTTTTTTATATATTATAGAAAGCTTTACAACTATATTTCTAAGTTAATAATAATAAAAAAAAAACTAGGAAATGGTTAAGTCCAGAGCACGACTTATCTCATTGAACATGACGTTACACGTCTTATCGTCGTATGTATGTAACCTAAGGCTTGATTTTCCAGTGCACAAAAAAAAAATTTTCTTTCTTTCATAAATTTTTGTTCAAAATTTTTAACATTTTTAAAAATTTTTTTTTTTAAAAAAAAATCAATATGCAAACTGAGAATAATTTAAATGAGTGGATAAATTCGATTGAAGAATATATATCAAATAATAGTATCAAATGCTACGAATATAAACATATTAGCAATATCCAAAAGATCGGTACAGGAAATTTTGGAAAAGTCTATTGTGCAAATTGGAAAAATACAAAACAACAA